GCTGCCGTCACACCTGTTGTGTTACATAACGTCGCGCGGTGCGTCACAACTGTGTGTTACATTAACGCGGCGTCACACCTGTGTTACATCAACGAGCGTGCGTCAAGCACCTGTGTGTTACATAACGCGCGGTGCGTCACACCTGTGTGTTACATAACGCGCGTCACACCTGTGTGTTACCTAACGCGCGGTGCGTCACACCTGTGTGTTACATAACTAGCGGTGCGTTACACATGTGTGTTACATAACGCGCGGTGCGTCACACCTGTGTGTTACATAACGCGCGTCACACCTGTGTGTTACATAACGAGCGGTGCGTCACACCTGTGTGTTACATAACGCGCGTCACACCTGTGTGTTACATAACGCGCGGATGCGTCACACCTGGGGCTACATAGACGAGCGGCTGCGTCACCGCTGTGCTGTTAAACATAATGAGCGGTGCGTCACACCTGTGTGTTCATAACGCGCGGTGCGTCACAACTAACGCTGAGATAGTTCGCCGGAAGATCGCTCGCACACGCACACGCTCACCGACCATAGTTCGTAATATACTCGCGACCTTTTAGCTTGCCCACCGCAGCTGTTGCAAATGCAAGGGTATTATGTCTAGGCTGTGGTCGGCGAAGTGGGCGCGGTTTTTTAACGCCGAGATCTCGTTTCGTCGCGACGCCATCACGGTTTCTCCTGCGCGTTTTATTTATAGAGCGCGCGTATTCACCAGGAGGCTCTCTCAGTTAATTCTATAGAATTTATCCAGACATATTAGAACGAAATAGCGCCTATCCTTGACATTTTGCGGTCGCGGTGTCTATACGGGGTAAACCCACGCATGCCCAGACAATATATATATATAAGATATATATATATATATTATATATATATATTATATATATAAGTATATACATACATAAAAATCAGGCGACAATGCAGGCAGCATAGATATACAACGTACCCACGCCGACAGCAATTATAGACCACGTAGGCAGTATAGATATGTAACATACCCATCAACAGACAGGGAGGATATAATAGCGTGAGCATGTCAGGCAATATAGATATAACATGCGCGAGTGCAGACAGAATATAAATCATGTACGCATGCATTCAATATTCAATGCACGGACGTATGAGCAGCTGCACACTAGTGTATATAGGCTTAGAAGGCTATTCAGCTTAGAAAGTGTGACGTGCTGCTCCTCCTATACTGCTATTGATGCTATTGCTGTTGTTGTAGTTGCTGCTGCTGTTTCTGTTGCTGTTGCTGTTGTTGTTGTTGTTGTTGTTGTTGTTGTTAGTTGACTGCTGCCTGCTGTTTGCTGCTGCCTGCCTGCTGCTGCGATGGCGGCGGTGGCGGCGACTGCTGCTACTACCACCACCGCGGCTAATGCTGTTACGTTGCTGTTATTAATGCTGCTCTTCTGAGCGACACTCTCACCAGCACGCGCGACTCGGGGGGGGGTTTTTTTGTTGTTATTATTATTATTGTTGTTGTTGTTGTTGTTGTTGTTTCTGATTCTCCTACTGCTGTTATTGCTGCTGCTGATGTTGTTGTCATTGTTGCTGCTGCTGATGTTGTTGTCATTGTTGCTGCTGATGCTGTTGCTGCTGCTGCTGTCATTGTTGTTGTTGTTACTGCTGCTGCTGCTGTATAGCCTGCTGTTGTTGCTGCTGTTTGCTGTGCTTGTGCCGTTGTTCTGTTGTCGCTGAATGCATTGCTGCTGCTATAAGCTGTGGTTGTTTGCTGCTGTTGATGCTGCCGCTGCGTTGTTGGTTGTCAGCGTGATGCTGCGCCGCCCCAACGCTTCTGCCTGGTGTGCTACGCCCTTGTGCCTTGAGTGATTCCGCTGCTATTGCTGTGATGTTCTAAGAGTGACATTTTGTATCGACACGCAATTATCAAGGATGCCTACATCCGTAATACGTTTAACGGTACTAGTCACCGAAGCACTGAAACGTAAAACACGGGTTATGCAGCCCCGCGAGCGTGTCCGCCCGTGCGTGATGAATTTCCGAGCGTCTTTACTTACGCAGATTAGGTGCCCACGTTATTGCAGTCTGCTACCAAAGGGCTTGACACTGATGTAACCGGCGCGTTCTCGACGATCCCTTACTAAGGCGACATGAACCAATACGGCAGTTCGTAAGAACAGCGAACAATACTTGTCGGAAACGGACGTGCGCAAAATAAAGTGGCGGCTTAGGGTGGGAGGAGAGGCTTTACTGACGAACGAGGGCAGTAGACAGGCACGCGCACGCAGCGACACGCCCACACACACACACACACACACACACCCACACACACAACACACACACACCACACACCAACACAACACATACACCACTTGCACACACACACAACACACACACACACACACCACCCGAGACACGCACGCGCACACGCACACGCCAACGCACACACACACACACACACACATCACATGATATGCAAGTTTTGTGTATGCAAATTGTGTGGCTGGTTATATGTGTCTGCGCTTGTTGCTGCGCGAGTGGCGAAGACGAAAGAAGAGAGAGAGATGAGAGGAGTGGAGGAATGAGGGAGAGAGAGAGAGAGAGATCGAGAGAGAGAGCGGAATGAGAGAGAGAGGAAATGACGAGGAAGACTGAGAGGATGAGAGATGAGAGGAGACGAGAGAGAAATGGGATGAAGAGAGAGAGAATCGAGAGAGAGAGAGAGAGAGAGAGGAGAGAGAATGGAGAGAGAGAGAGACGAGGAGAGAGAGAGAGAGAGAGAGAGTGAGAGACCATGAGAGAACGAGAGCGAGAGAGAGAGAGAGAGCGGAGGAATGAGAGAGAGAGACGAGTGATTGAGATAGAGCTGAGATGAGAAGGAGGCTGACCGGGAGATGAGAATAATGAGCCAGGCGCGAGCCCACACGCAGAGAGAGAGAGAGAGAGATGAGGAGGACGAGAGAGAGAGAGAGAGAATCGAGAGAGAGAGAGAGAGATAGAGAGAGAGAGAGAGAGGAATGAGAGAGAGAGAGAGAGAGAGGAGCAGAGAGAGAGAGAGAGAGAGAGAGAGAGAGGATGTGATAGGGCTATAACATATAAGCCTCCAGTAGCGACAGGCAGTCGATTTTTTTCCGGAATTTTTGACGTGAAGCGAACACCGCCTCACTAGTCCTGCCGCTTTGATTAGCGAAAGTATCGCGTGTCTCTCTAACTGACACGAATTGACTAGCTCACAGAACTCACAATAACAAAATGCTATTATTAAACACGAGTAACTATTAACTAATAGGAATCCATCTATGCCCATTATTTCGGTGACGCTTTCTCGTTGTTTCTGTTACAGTGAAATACAGGAACGAGTTTCGTTCGGCAATGCGATGTTGCGTATGCAATCGGGCCCGCCACGCAGAGGGTCGCTCTTACAAAGAAAGAAGGTATAGTTCATTTCAACACGCTCACGCTTGAAGCTTGTTGAAATCTGTTCGAATTCACGCGCTCGAAGCGTGTTGAAAGTCGACCTCGGGAATTTTTCGTGCACGAAACTTTACGATGAGACGTCGCTTTTTGAATTCGTGTGCCTCTAGCGTGTTGAAATGAAGTCTACCAGAATTCTTGTACATGTCGGTAATGAAAAACGTGATCGCTCTCGCGGGGTGTATCGACGCTTGAAGACGCTGTCGAGACGAGATATGCTAACGACACTGGGTCCTGGTGCTGTTTGAAGTGACTTTGGTCTAAACTTATTTTGCTTGATAAATGTCAGCCTTACTCCCACTCTTCCTATGCGGGTTCCCTAGGTAAAAAAGTCTATGTTTCGCTATGTATAGAGATTTGATGAAATTCGGTGTTAGGGTTTGATTAGAGTTAGAGTTAGAATGTGGGTTAGGGGTATGAGAGGTTTAAGGTTAAGATTAGGGTTAGGATTGAGCTGGGTTTAGGATTACGTTTGAGTTAGAGTGATGATTCGGGTTACTATTAAGTTTAAGTTTATGGTGTTGTGTTAGGTGTATTGTGAGGATATAGCTAAATTACATGGTTAGTTTACGCTTAGGGTTAGGTTAGAGCTATAGATTATGGTTAGGTTATGGTTAGGATAGAACTAGGTTGCATGGTTAGTTTAGGGTTCGAGACATGGTTAGGATAGAGCAAGGTTATGAAAACTTTAGGGTTAGGGTAAGTATAGAGCTAGATTACCTTGGCTTATGGTAAGGTAACCTTGGTTACTTACGTAATGTTGTTACTTTACTTTTACTTACTTTTACTTTTACTTTTACTTTACTTTTTACTTTTACTTTTACTTTACTTTACTTTACTTTTTTATTTTTTTTATTTGTAACTTTGTTAGTTGGTAACTTTGTCTAGACTACCTTGGCTTATGGTAAGGATAGAGATGTGTTATGAATAGGATGAAGTTAAAATTGGGACATACTAAGTTATAGATAGGTTAGGGTTGGAGGGTTCCTGCTGTGTTAGTACCCGGAGATGTATAGACCAGGGATTCTTAACCTGTGGTCCATAGACCGCTTTGGGGTCCATGGATGGGCTTCAGGGGGGTCCGTGAACCAGGCGCATGCAAAATTTTGTGTTTATATGCTTATGTGCATTTTTCTGGGGAGGGGTCCGTAGCTTTCACGTGATTCTCAAAGGGGTCCGTGACTCAAAAAAGGTTCAGAACCACTGAATAGACTATATCCGCGTTACTTGCTGTAGCCCCGGGGATGCATTAGCTGTGAATGTCGTCTGAGTATGCCACCATTACATCTCTGTGCACGAACGAACGCCAGACCGCTCGCAAACCATTTTCCCCCGATAACAAATAAAATTAGGTAATCGCATGAAACGAAAGGAAGCTAATTCCTTCCGTCGATGAGAGCCGGAATTTTGTTGTTTTTTACATTTCCGACGTCATCATTCTACTTTTCTTTTTCCTTTTTTATATTTGTAGCGAAATTCAGACACGAGTACAGGGCGTCAGTGCGCTGCTAGCCTGCTACCGACGTAATCATTCCATCTTTTCTTTTTTGTAGCGAAATTCCGACACGAGTACAGGGCGGCAATGCGCTGCTGCTTTCGCGGGTCCAGCCAACAGGCACCCGCACGACGCAAGGGCTCCTCACTTCCCATCAGCAACTACCGTCTAGCGACGACCACGCGTAGCCGCCCGACGAATGCCACCGAGGTCATCTCACTCACCGAGATATAATCCCGCATGCAGCGCCCTCGGGCGGCCAACCACGGCGAGGCACGGCGGAAACATTCTGAAAGTGGCACTGCGAGTTTGTTGTTGTTGTTGTTATATGCTGCGGTGGTGTTATATACACGCTGGGTGGTGTTAGATCACGCGAGGTGGCGGTGGGTGGGGGCGGGGGGGGGCAGGTGTGAGGGAATCGCATGATGGTGGTGGATTCACTTGTTACGAGCTAGAACAGCAGACGACATTTATCAGCGTGCTTCTTCACGCGTCATTCGAAAGATGCGGAGGCTGTCAAGAACACAATTATTATAGAGATTTGAAGCGCTATATGTGTGTGCGCGCGTGTGTGCGTGCGTGTGTGCGTAGAGGCGTAGGAAAGCGTTAGTGAGTGCGTGCGCGTGGGTGCCCACGTCCTGGCGTGCGTGCGTGCGTGCGTGCGTGCGTGTGGTTGATTACTAGGTCAAAGATGCGGTACGTTTACGGCATAATCGTCTGACTACATTCACGTTTAGTTGTAATATATTCCGCTATATATATCAATAGAAGATAATAACACTATTATCTATATTATGTTATATTATCTACTCTTGATATATATCTTGATTAGCAACTTATATGTAATAACACACGAACTGTTCACCGCGTCGCGCTTCTTCTAGACTTTTGTATACTCCTGAAGTCTGTTGTTTACCATGAGTTAATGCCACGAGTTCCCAGGATTTCGTCTATTGCTTCATATAGTACGCATGTTGCTGGGAGACTATCTAACCGCCAGTTAAAAGCGCTAACCCCAGCTCTTGTGACTGTATTTATGTAGAGCTGCACCATGTACATATGCTCTCAATCAATAATCAATAATAATCAATATCAATAATATTATCGTTAATAACGTTTCGGGAAGTGCTCACATTAAATTTCCCTGCCTATCTATCTTAATATTTTTTTTGTCCTAGTACTCTCTGCCCTTCTCGCCTCTCCTCGCCTTCCATCCCTCCCCCCTCTCTCGCGCGCCCTACCTCCCAACCTCCCTCCCTCCCTCCCTCCCTCCTTCTCTCTCTCTCTCGTCTCGTCTCTCTCTCTCTATCTATCTATCTATCTATCGAACATTCTATCTCTCTCTCCATCACCCTTTCTCTCGCTCTTCTCTTTCTCTGTCCCCCCTCTTATCATGTGCCTATCTTTGTCTGTGCTCTCTCTCATCTGCTTCCATCCGTCTCCTCTCATTCGGTCTTTCTTTCTCCGTCTCTCGTCTCTCTCGTTCTGGCTCTCTGCATTCTCTGCTCTCTCTTTCTCTCGCTCCGGTCTTTCTCTATCTCTTCTCTCCTGCGTCTCTCCCTCTCTCTCTCTCTCCGTCGTTCTCTGTCCTTCTTCTGTTTCCTATTTTTTTCTGTTTCGTTCCCTCTCTCTCTCTCTCTCTCTCTCTCCTTATGTCTACATCCGTGTCTACGAATATATCCATCTCGATCGTGAACATTTTTGAATGGAATCTATATGTCAGTAAATATAAGTAGTATCACCAAGCAGCTGTATATTTTAATATGAATATCACCCTCAAAGATATATGTATGTATGTCTTGTAGGTTGCCAAAGTAGAGTGCTCTGCGCTTTTCTGTCTACCTTCTCACTATATTTCACTCTTCCTGCATGTTTCGTAACACGATAATAATGAAATGAGTTCGTTACATCCTTCATTAGATTGAATTACAGCGAATAGTAAGTAACGTAATGTAAGCTTTAACAGCAGGTTCCCGATAGTATGTATATATTGCACTAATTCAATCCATAGACTCGAAAAATAAAGAAGAAATAGCAGCTTGAAGCTACCCGATGTTGTTATTATAATCTTATATCCGCAACCCATATCACCCAAAACATCTGCGAGTATCGCTCATTGACAACAATCTATACGACAAATGTAAATATATATATGTGTGTATATATATATATATATATATAAATGTATGTATGCGTATATCAACATCAACGAGCAACAACTAAAATTTTAACTGACAAGATAGATTAAGTAGAAAATTATCAAGCATTATTTTGATTTAGTTCGTAACGCCATCATCTCCATCCACGGGATAACTCCAATGGCAAGTTATTTACAAGTGCACAGTGGCCCGGCAAGCACGCGATTTCATTCATAACATTCGTCTAAAACATTCGTTAGCATAAATCCGTCGAGTTATATCACGACGTGCGACTCACTTGTCGTGGTTTACAGTCGGACCGGAACTTCCGGTCGTCGTATAGTACTTAGTCTTCTCGATTTTTTCGATGAACTTAATTGACTCGTCTAGGTAGCTGATGAGGGCTGTGAGACCTGCGCTGAGGGCTGGCGGACCGAACCCGTGCGACAACAAGCTGAAGTGAGTCAGGTTCTTCTGGATTTCCGGCTCGAGTATCGGCTGCGGCCGCGCCGTGCCTACGGGAGAACGATCCTTGGCGAACAGATCGTGTAGTTCCTTGGCTATTTGTCTGCGAACGTCGAGAGAGGGAGAGCTGTAATAATATTATCACAGACAAACGTGACGGAGAGAGAGAGAGAGAGAACGCCTAGCTCTGTCCATTGGAGCAATCAGCCGATGGCAGCCCCACTATCAGGTGATCGCCTGCGACACGGACTCAGACGTACGGAGTGGTAACGGTGAACGACGTAAGTAACGAGTTCGGCTGCAAGGTGCGGTGTGTGTGTGTGTGTGTGTGTGTGCACGCGCGACGGCGTCGCTAGGCAATGGTCGAGGGCACGTGCACGCTGCCAGCTGACGACGACGAAGGCTGCATTCAGTCTCTCTGTTCTCTCTGTTTTGTTCGTCTCTCAGTTCTCTGTCCGTCACTCTGTCCGGTCACTCAGTCCGGTCACTCTGTCCGTCACTCTGTCCGTCACTCTGTCGGCCACTGTGTCCGTCACTGTGACGGTCACTCTGTCTGTTATTTGCCCCGGGAGTACCGGGTTGGCGTGTCACACAACTACAGATATAAGCGACACACAACGAAGCCTAGCGAAAGACGACGACCGACGACGACCGACGACGACGACGGCGACGACGACGACGACGACGAGACGAAACGCGCCCCACTCTCGCTTCTCTACGCCGAAAGCGTAAGCGCGGACAGAAGCAGCGTCGGGAGCGAGTGCAGACGTCTATCGTACGTACTGTGTGCGCGTATATCCCCAGCAGCGAGTATCTGCAGATGTCGCTGCCGCCACGCCCTAAGGTGCTACAGACGACGAACGTCGCGCAATTATGCGACGAGCCGTGTAGCTAAAGTATAGGCCCGCGCTCTGCGAACCCACCGCGCCGCTAAATCGCTTATCAAGCTCAACTGCCCAATACACGTTTAGCAATCTCTGACCGAAAATGGCCTCGCCTGTGTTGTCGTCCGTCATGCGACACGCATACCCCGGGTGACAGCAGATGACAAAGGGCACCGCGGTAATGACAGCGCGCGCCTCATTGACTATGGATGACAGAAGATTTGGGGGAAAATAGTTGCCGTATAGTGGTAAACCCTCGTCCGCCCAGTGCGCTCTGTCACCGATAGCTTTTATGCGGCGACCTCGATCGCGGGCGCGATACGGGGCGCTGCACGCCTGCGCTAGCGATGCGGCGGCCATTTAACATTTAACACCTGACAGCGCCGAGCATATATATATATATACCGTCTCCGTGCGCGCGCGGGTACGAGCGAGATAGGAGGAGGAGGAGAAGGAGAAGGAAGAGGAAGAGGAGAATGAGGATGAGGATGATCAATTAATCTATCTATCTATCTATCTATCTATCTATCTATCTATCTATCTATCTATCTATCTATCTATCTATCTATCTATCTATCTATCTATCTATCTATCTATC